TCCACCCAGCCTGTCCTTGTGGTTGTGCACAAGTACATTATCTGTCTTTTCTTCAAAGAAAAGGGCTCGTCCTGCTCAGGGGATCCTCGTGCAGCAGCCCGCAAGCAGCAGTCCAAGAAGCAGGGCAGCAGCACAAAGGCTACAGATCCCAGCTGCAACATTCTCTTGTTCAGAAATCTGCAGGTCCCGTCTCCACCAGTCCACTCGGGATGTGGAAGTGAGATGATTCACAGCCTCCTGCAGCGCGGGACACACACACAGCCTCAACGCAGGAGCTCCCCCCCCCGCCACTGCAGTTACTCACCGGTTTCACATCCAGAAGGATGGAGGACTTGGCAATAAGACCCGGTTTCTTGGCTTTCTTCTCTGCGTACTGACGCAGTCTCTCCTCCCGGACTTTGGCAGCCTCTTCGTCTTCCTCTTCATCGTCACTCCCAAAAAGATCGATGTCATCGTCGTCATCTTCCTCTGCAGCCGCCGGCTCGACTTTCTTTGCCGGTGAAGCGGACGGGAGCTCCACTTTCTTGGAAGGAACACTGAATGGCTCCACTTTCTTCATCGGGATGACATTCATTCAGGTTTGTATTAAGGAAAAAAGAGAGAAGATTAACCTGAAATTGAATCGCAGCAGCACTTGAGCAGCTCAGGAAGAGAAGTCCATGTTGCTCAAGACAGCGAACACAGCCTACACCACCTGCTTGCTGTGAGGAACTTGCTATTTCCCACCAAAACAGGACATTCGACCCGATAGGCTTTTGAACAGGCCCAGTATGGCCATGCTCCTGCAGCAACAACCACCACGTAGCCAAGAGCTCATCCTTCTCCTAAGGGCTCAGGATACCTAAGCCATAAGAATCCGAGAGGGACAGCAGCTCAGAAGGTAACCACGCGCCCTCCCCCTCGCACGAGACCACCGGCAGCCATGGCCTCCAACCTGCAAGAACCCACCACACTGGTGCCATGCATTCAGCTCTCTGTTTTCTCTTATACTAAATCCCTTCTTATAGGGGACATTGGCTAAAAACAAGCGTCACCAATTCTGCATATCCACTGGAACAAAGTGCCATTTTACCTGGTGCGTGCTAAGAAACTCGCAGCACCATAGGCTAAATGATAATGAAGTATGTATTAACCCCAAACTTGCATAGATTTGCATCAGCTCTCCCTAAATGAAATCTCTAACCTAACTTCTTTGTTGGTCTTAGGGTAGAATGTTCCTCTTTGCACGTATTTTTTTAGGAAAGATAAGGAGTCAGCTGCCAAAACTGCTGGAAAGCCTGCAAACTCATCCTAACGATAAGCATCTCGCAGAATCTCAGAATGGTTTGGGTTGGAAGGGACCTTAAAGACTATCCAGTTCCAACCCCCCTGCCATAGGCAGGGACACCTTCCACTAGACCAGGTTGCTCCAAGCCTCATCCAGCCTGGCCTTGGACACTTCCAGGGATGGGGCATCCACAGCTTCTCTGGGCAACCTCTCCCAGTGCCTCCCCACGCTCTGCAGGAAGAATGCATTCCTGATGTCTGATCTCAAACTCCCGCTTTCCATTTAAACCCCTTACCCTTTGTCCTGTCACTACAGGCCCTTGTGAAAAGCCTCCCCCCTGCTTTCTTGCAGCCCACCCAGGCACTGGAAGGGACTCTAAGGTCTCCCTGGAGCCTTCCCTTCTCCGGGCTGAACCCCCCAACTTTCCTGACTGCCCTATGGCAGAGGGGCTCCAGCCCTTGGAGCAATTTTCATGGCCTCCTCTGGACTTGCACCAGACAGTTGATATCCTTCCGATGTTGAAGGCTCCCAGAGCTGGATGCAGCATTCCAGGTGGGGTCTCAGGAGAGCAGAGTACAGGGGAAGAATCCCCTCCCTCGACCTCCTGGCCACGCTGCTCTGGATACAGCCCAGGATACGGTTGGCTTTCTGGGCTGCCAGCGCACACTGCCGGCTCATGTCCCGCTTTTCGTCTACCAGTCCCCCCAAGTCGTTCCCCCCAGGGCTGCTCTCGATCCATTCTCTGCCCATCCTGTGCTTGTGCTGGGATCACCCCAACCCATGTCTCCACCTTCACCCAGTCACGAGACCTTGGAAATGAGCCGGCACTTTGCGGCAGCGAAGCAGTCGAGAACAGCACTTTGCCAAGGCTCACCTGGGTTGGAGGAACTGGTGAAGGCTGGTGGGACGTAGATGACTTTTCCAGAGCATTCAGGCGGCTTTCCAGCTTGAAGATGGCCATCTGAAGGTCTGCAACAACTGCAGGAAGAGGTAGGGGGAAAGAACATTACCTCCCAGGCTCTGCATCAGCTCTCAAGTCAGGACAAATTTCCTTCTGCTCAAAACAGACTTTAAAAACCACCAGTTGGCCCAGAGCGAAGCCTGCAGAGCTCTGATCAAGACACTGGCACATGCTGACCTGGGGACAAAATCAGTAAGGGATCATGGAATCACAGAATGGTTTGGGTTGGAAGGGACGTTAAAGATCATCTAGTTCCAACCCCCCTGCCATGGGCAGGGACATCTCCCACTAGACCAGGTTGCTCGAAGCAAGACCCCATCCAGTTTTGCTTTCATGCTGGCAGATTCTCCTACTTACCACTGTGAAGGTTTTGATTTTCTACCTCCAGGTGAGAAATTCTGGCAAGGAGTTCATTCTGGTCACCGGCAGGCCCCGAAGAGGTTGTGCTTGCACTCTGCAACAAGGAAAACCGAGGTGAAACAAATCTGTTTGCCTCCTCCCAAGGCTCAGTGGTTCAGTGAAGCAAAGCAGAGTCATGCCTTCAGGGAAGAAGAAAACATGGGAGCGAATCTAAGAACAAAGACATTTTCTCTAAAGGCTTTATCAAATGGCTATAGGAGCTCTACAGAATGAAGCATGAAACATGTCAAGAAATTTCAGCAGGCACCGATGAGCGAAGGATGTTTTTTACAGTCTCAGATCACAGACTGCCCCTTAAATGGGGCAGCTGGTCTCTTCTCACAAACTGAGGCGCAGAGCACAGGGGTGACCGGGCTCATGTCACCCAGCAAGTCACCGTGAAAGCTGGAAAAGAAATGCCGGCATTTCTATACTCCCACCTTCTCCAGTCCAGCCTGTCATTCCTCTGAAAACAACTTAAACCTACTTTTAAGACATCCTCAGGGAGGAATTATGCCAATCCAGCTTCCAAAGTATTTCACTTTAACAGCAATAAAGAGCTTTCTTTTCTTTAAGGAGGACCTGATCCCTAAAGTCAAACCAGCAAAGGGAAAAATATGTAACAGGCCTTCACACTTTGCTTTAAAAGTGTAATTTATAAGTGAATACAGTGATAGAGAACACAACTGATGCTCTTTCAAGTCCACCCTGCGTATACTTCTGTGGTTCTTGGCTGACGTGCTGCTGAGATCTCAGCAGTCCCGTAAGACGGAGAGAGGGAAACCACAGGGGTCACGATGAGGAATAGCACAGCACACAAAGCAGGTCTGGGAGGTGCCTGGCCCTAGGAGACACGGGGAGGGGTGCAGGAAGGTCAGAGAGACACTTCTCCACCCACCCAAGAAGAGGGTCAAGGTGAAAAGCACTACGAAACCCATCTCCAACGCAGCCTGCGCAGCGGATGCAGGCTCAGGAACACGAGTGCTACCCCCAGACACGGGCGGGGGACCTAAATGCCCTGTTTCTAGATCCTATTATACAGGGTGAGCTACAACCATGAGCCAACGGACAAATGCTTCTCATCGTAAGGAAAAGCATGGTCCAGCTCTCCAAGGCAGGGCTGCCCTCAGCCCTACAACGTGCTTTCAGATCACACACCCAGCTCCATGCATGCGCAGGTGACTTACAGTTGAACGGCCCGACTGCCTCTTGTGACGGGCAGAAGGAGCTTCTTTACTACGAGGAGCTGTCTTCTGCTGCAAAGGGCAAAAGGTTTGGAGGAAGTTTGGTTTAACAAGGAAGACAGAAAAGGATTTGGGTCGTGTTGGAAGAAGCAGTTCAAGTGGAGGAAGCAGACCCACATGCAGGACAAAGTGTCACGCAGCGAGAAACAGCCTCACACCAAACAAAGCCTGCACAGAAACATCCGTTCATGAACTCTGCCGTCTCCTTGTCAGACATCTCAGTGCCTGCAGAAAAGTCACGCAGCTGGGTAGCAGAATTAGAGGTCTCGAGCAGAGTCAGTCATCTCCCCATCTGTAAAAGCAGAGGTGCACACATTGCTGCAGCACACACTGCGGTGTCAGCTGACCCTCTGGTCGTTAGGGAAAATTAATACTCAAGAGATGCAGAAACACATGTAAGGCACTCAGTAAGTCTCTAATTACCTCCAACACATCTCTCCTACAGTAAAGAGGCACAGCACTCAGACACAGAACCATAGAATGGTTTGGGTCGGACAGGACCTTAAAGACCATCCAGTCCCAACACCCCTGCCGTGGGCAGGGACACCTTCCACTAGACCAGGTTGCTCCAAGCCTCATCCAGCCTGGCCCTGGACACTTCCAGGGATCTGCACTAACAATTTGATGAGACTCCTGCATGAGCTTCCATCCTCACAAGGACCACCACAACAGAGGCTGATAGCCACAGTGGGTTCATCACACCAGGCTGGCCCTCACCTTGTCCACCAAAGACAAAAATCAAACCTCAGATGAACCCACTGCCTGACCTCTTCCTGTTCTAGTTACACCATCAGGACCAAAGTCTAAGTTAATTCAGGGAAAAGTGAATTCTGGTAATAGTCACATCCATCCCCAGCCCCTGAAAAAGCACTGGTTTTGACTCATGATCAAACACAGGCACTGTCTCACCTGCAAGGAGACACACAGCAGGGTTTTTTTCAGCTTTCTGATTCCGTTAAGCAGCAAACGCCGCGGCTGTTTGGCAGTTTGAAGCCCTAGTCACATCTCCAAGCCCAAATACTGAAGTATTCCTGCAGGTTCTGTGTTTGCCCTGGCGACTGGCTGCTCTGTGCACGACCACTGATGTTCAAGACGTTGGTTGGACTTGATCTTAAACTCTTTCCTAACCCAAACAATGCTCAGAGGCTGCGGGATGGCTACATCTATTCAGTGTTGCAGAACAGCCCCACTGATAAACCCTTGGCTTCTGGGTTTAGTAGAAGCATTCGCCACAGAAGTCACCTGGGCCTTCACATTTCTCTTCCCTGTTAGTAATAACCCCTCGAAGATGAGAAATCCAGAGTGGCAGGACCATCTACCTTCATGCTTGCCAGCTGCCATCCCAGACACAGAATGGGTCAGCGCTGCTCCTCCCTGCAGTCCCACAGGAAAAATATCTCAGGATGCCTCCAGCTCAAGACAAACCTGCCAGCCTCGTGCGGTTGTGTCATTCCAGGGATGTCTGAGGAGGAAATCAGGATCATTTTGCCCCCAAAAAAGTCTGTAGCTGTGGCTCACAGGATTTCTCAGCTCCTGAGGTCTCTGCAGAGCAAACAAGCTTAACCACCTGGATGTATCTACAGGTTCAGCACCCACTGAATTCACGTGAATGGTTCAGTTTTGTGCACCTGGAAAAAGGGATGCAGGATTTTACGTATGCTAAAATAATCCTAAACCAGGATTCACTTTCCTTGCTGTATTTTTCATGCCTGTTTAAAACGGAGGTTTCCTACATGCTGGGCACTCAAACAGACCCAAGTTGGAAGGGACCTTAAAGATCATCTAGTTCCAACCCCCCTGCCATGGGCAGGGACACCTTCCACTAGACCAGGTTGCTCCAAGCCTCATCCAGCCTGGCCTTGAAGACAGCCAGGGATGGGGCATCCACAGCTTCTCAGGGCAACCTGTCCCAGTGCCTCCCCACCCTCTCCAGGAAGAATTCCTCCCTGATGTCCCATCTCAATCTCCCTCTTTCTGTTTAAACCCATTACCCCTTGTCCTGTCACTCCCTGTCCTTGGAAAAACCCCCCCCCAGCTTTCTTGTACCCCCCAGGCACTGGAAGGGGCCCCAAGGGCTCCCCAGAGCCTTCCCTTCTCCAGGCTCAATCCCCCAACTCTCCCCACCTGTCCCCATGGCAGAGGGGCTCCAGCCCTCAGAGCATCTCCATGGCCTCCTCTGGACTCGCTCCAACAGCTCCGGGGCCTCCTGCTGTTGGGGGCCCCAGAACTGGAGGCTGGACTGCAGGGGGGGGATCTCCCCAGAGCAGAGGGGGAGAATCCCCTCCCTCATCCTGCTGGCCACACTGCCCCGGATCCAGCCCAGGATCCGGTTGGCTTTCTGGGCTGCCAGTGCACACGGCCGGCTCATGGCCAGCTTCGCATCCACAAGCACCTCCAAGTCCTTCTCCTCAGGGCTGCAATGCAGCACGTGGCACAAAGCATTTAAATCAACACCCTGTGAAATTCAGATGGTATTTGCCAGTCCTGGGCAACCCCAGGGCAAGGTGAGCCTGAGCACAACCACCTTTCGCTGGCAAGAAGAGAGGGTTTGCCTGCCTCAAGCTCAAACAAGGGATTAAAGGCGTTCACGAGCTGGGCCAGCCATCCATTGGGAACCTGTAACGTGTAAGGCACAATGCTGAAATTGTGGAAAAAATGTCTTTTTGAGACTGGGCTTTCCCCTGAGTTGAGAACATACTAAGACTCCAGCGACGCGGTCACCGCCCTTAGCTACACACTGCCTACGGCGTGTTGTTTTCCTATGCACAACCAAGCGCCGTCTTCCTTCTCCGACAACTGTGCCACGACGCAACCCAACACGGGGCTCTGTGCATTTTACCAAGGACAACCGTCCAGAATCCCAAAGGTGGGGAGTTGCAGAGCATCACTTTAGTTGCTTCCTGCACAGTCTCATTGTTGGAGCTCTTAAAACTGTGTTTTTTTCTAAGCTTAAGCCACCGTTTTTGTGCTGAACACACATGAAGTGATGCAGTGCTGCAACCTAGTCAAAATATTTGGCAGAGCAGAAGCACTCAGCGAGCCCAGAACCACACAAGCATATAAATTTAATCATCCAGGCAAATTAAAGCCCTAGGACTCCTCACTTATGAAGGGTAGAAAACAGAATCTAGCCTAAAAGGGCTTTCAACATCTGGCTCTCTCCATACTTTGACTCTCCAAGATGCACTTCAAAAATCAGAGACAAGAACACTGATTAATGAAGAAGTTGGCTAAGGTTACATTTCTTTACGTTGGCTGAAAGAAATCCATCTGGACAACTACAGCAAAGAGCTCTTCCCTTGGCGTGCCAGGCCTAACCTGCAGACACAGCTTCCCTCCCTACAGGAAATATCTGGAGGTTTAAGGTCTCTTCCAAACTAAACCATTCTATCATCTGTATCAACCATTTCCCCTTATTTTGTGTTAACTGGTTAAAAAGAACAGCACAGATATTTTACAAGCTCAGTTACAGATGTGACGTGGGTAGAGTTCACAAAGCACTCATCTTTATCCAAAAAAAGAAACCTGTTTTTAGCCAGGATCAGATGCACAAAACTGAACTGTGGGGAAATGATGGTGGAGAACTCCAAGAGGTTTTCACCTGTCTAAGAACAGCAAGACAGATCCTGGCTGGTTTTCTACAGATCATGGAATGGTTTGGGTTG